GCTAAAAGGTCTTTTCAATCGTTGATCTGAAAAATTCGTTGCACACAGTTAACAGTTTAGGCATTTCTAAACAGATTAGACGTTATGCATAGCATTTCCATAAAAGTTTTGATCTGACGTGTCTGTTTAAGAATATGACATGCGTTGTAATGTTATTTTTTTGTAGCAACTTCCGGTTTCCGACAAAACTACCCCTAAGTTCAATTACCTTATGTCCTATAATAATTTGATAATATATTTATATATAAATATCAATTAAATAACTGCTCTATACTCCAAAGTATTTGAAGTTTTTTTTTAACCTACCATATGTATTCCGCAGCAGTAGTGTTTTCTCGACATGACGGAGCCCCACCGTCTCCAGACTATTTTTTGAATTCGAAGACCGGTTGCCAACCAGTCAGGGGGAGGGGAGTAGAGATGGGTTCATAGGCAAGTGAGTATAAAGAACTCAACTGGAATTCGAACTCGGTTTCCCGAACTGCTACCCATTACTCCACAGTGATTCTCCAAGAAAAATGTTTAGCATTTATTAATTCCTCATACTGAATTTATATGACAGACTCGGGGTATGAATTTGTTAAATGATAAAAGTACGCGAGTGTAGACTTTGAGAAAGCTTTATTCAACTGAGAATACATGTAAATCCTTTTTACCTTTTATGGGAAACTATCCAATGACGGAAGTGGAAGGTATGCTTCGTTAACTGTATTTCGGAATAAAATATTTTAGTAGCATCGTGATCTCTCACCTAATGAAACGTTAAAAGAAAATTTTAACGTTGAAACAAGATGTATAGTTTTGTAGGGGGTATGTGCATGTTCTAATGTAACACTGCATAATAAGTAACTATTTTTGCTCTACAATTGTCTTAAATTACTGTTTTGAACGCTGAAGTCTTACTCTTCCTTCTTTTTACATTTGGATATATATATATATATATATATATATATATATATATATATATATATATATATATATATATAATTAATTAAGTCCAACAATTGTTTACTATATTCTCTATATGTATTATTTATATAGATACAATTTATTTAAGTAAATGCTCTGTCTTTTTGTTGTTGTTTTTTTTGTTTTTTTTTTTTAAATAAACAGTATTAATTACATTTAGCGGCTTGAATGTTCGAGAAATTTCGTAGAAAATATGCGCTCTCCGACAGGAATCGAACATATGTCCTATACGGAACCGTCAATTGAGCTGACATACTATTCAATATATATATACATTTTTGGGGAACAGATATGATCGACCAGAAAAGACCGTCGATGATTTGTTGTTTATAAACAGTAATTTGGTCTTTGCTAACTAGACGCGTCACAGGTTCGATTCCTGTCGGTAAACGTATATTTTATACGAAACCCCTCGAGCATTCAGGCCGGTAAATGTAATTAATAATCTTTATTTTAAAAAATGAGCAGAGCATTTAAAAGGTAACGTGTAAACAGAAAATATTTTATTTTTATTTTTATTTTTTTATATATATATATATATATATATATATATATATATATATATATATAATCTTTGATATGGCAGCGATTTCTGGGCGATAGCCTAATAGACGAAAAAATAGATTTGAAGCGGCAGAGATGTGTTTCTAAGGAGAAATGTTGAAAATTCCCTGGACAGATCATATGAGCAACGAGGAAGACTTTACAAGAATGGAAATATTTTTTTAATTAATTCATGCCAGTAAGACACAAGGAGCTACTGAAAATAAAAGAGAATGAGTATTTTTTATAAGAAACCGGAAACCCAATACCAAACAAGAAACCTCTATTCCTGTTCAAAAGATCAAGAAATGCGAACAGGACAATAGGCGAACCTATCTACTCTTATTAAACTTCAAGAAAATCAATGCTATCAGGGACAGTTTCAATTTTGGGGGAGATATTATGAAAATTTAGCACACGCTGTACATACTGAATGCAAGAGAAACAGGGTACAACCATGAGTAACGTATTTAAGGAGGTTGCGTTAAATGGATTTTAGAACAAGGACATTTATAGATGGTAAGTAATTAAAAGTTATTTCGAGCAACAAAATACAAGATGTGTCGATCCATAATCGCCCACATACTGATGAGACACGCCCAATAAACCAAGTTCACTGTGACACAATGTAACAAGAGGAGTCTATCTAGTGAAAATCGAACTCTCTACATTAGTTTTCCAATGTCTCTTGCTTAATATGGCTGCAAAGCAAGCGTCCATTTGTATCTGTTATTTCTAAGATTAGCTTCGGTACTAAGTAACAAGGGTATAGAACTGAAATCTGAATGATTTTCCAGTCGAGCTAGCTTGCCATCATGCCACGCCGGGTGGCACTCCGTTTCTGTTATTAATGAAAAGAGAAAGTGTCACAAGTTGCTGGAAAATTACTGGAGTTATATTTACACCAAGTGGCATTTAGGTCTATTTTGGAGCTCACTGTCAGAGAATAAGCCTCGGGCGGCGACACATTAGTTTCCATTCTACTTTAATTTGGAAAACAATTCGGCAACGACACAAGAGCATAGAAAAGACAAATTGAAATGAGACATGATTAATGATTAAATAGTTATTATTTGAAATCAAGTTCCAAAAACTGACGCCGTCCCATCGACGACGAAATTAGAAATGAGAAATTTGCGCCACCTGACAAATCATGAGAAAGTCGAAATAAAACGGATTTTTTTTCTTTTTATTTATATTTGGTCTATTGCACTCATCTTTGTTATTGTTATCCAGATGTTTCGACCGTTGTTCTCTCTGGCCTTCCACAGGTGAATATCGATCTACAGGTAATTCTAAACAGAACGCTTTAGTTAATCTACGTGCGTAGACTGTTCCCAGTCCACTGCCCATGTCTAGAGGTCTTGTCTAGTTTCTACTTTTAGTATTACTGTTCGCCCGTTTTCATTAAGTCCAAGTACGCACTCCCCGACCCAGGAAATTGAAATGACGATCACCCTGTCATAAAATTAATAAGGAGAATCGTCCGAATATAAATAATGATGACTTCTCATCCCAGACACTTAGACTGAAAAATATGTACAAAATCAACTTCATTTCTTTGCATTTCTCGCAATAATGATTCACAAGTATGATCATCGGAGTTACTTTCTACTTTTCCTTATAAAATTGAAGGCTAGATTGTGTTTCTTTTTCTTTTTGACTTTTGCGCTCTTAGCATCAAGTTATGTTAACTCTCTTGTTATTTAACAGTATAGAAAGATTACTAAAACACAAGAGAATCACCGACGAGCCTGGTCAATATCTAGATGGGTAACCTCTAGGCAATATCAGCTGCTGTAAGCGTTGATGTGCAAGTGGTTTAATGGATAACAGCTCGAAATTCATAATCGGAGTTCCGAGTTCCAATTCCCGTTGGGAAAGATGCGAAACCACTCCTCCCTCTACCCAGCTATGGATTAATTAGTAGAACTTGTATCAGTAAATCATTATTTCCAAAGAATTCTTACAATCTAAAACTATGTGTTGTTAAACCGTAAACATACAAATCAGCCAAACCTGCTATGCTTTATCTTGACCCGAGCCAGATCAGACGAGAAATGGTGTATTGCTGTCATATCTAGGTGGAGCTGTCTAGTCCTCATTTTCCTTCTTTTTTTTCTTCTTTTTTTTTAAGCATTTCACCCCAAGCAAGGCGGGAAGCCACTAGGACGCAAGGGGTTACAGAAAATTTAGAGCAAGATCAGATAGGAGTGATAGAAGAAAGGATGAGGGTAGTGGATAGATCAAGGCAACTGGAGATGTCGATTGACATTACACTTGAATAGCTGGGGATTATAGCTCACAGGGAAACAGGAAAAGGAAAGGGATTTCCACAGGCGAGAGGTGCGAGACATGAAGCTATTGGAGTAGAAGAGACGGCTACATTTAGGAGTTTCGACAGTGAAAGCGGGATGCCAGCCTCGTATGGCGCTGGAACTCATGACGTCTGGGAACCAGCGAATGCAGCTCCTCGGAACAATTTCCATGGAAGTATTTGTAGAACAGACAGAGGGGGGGGGGTCGACGGCGCGTCTGTGAGAAAGTGACTGTAGACGAAACGCCAGAGCAGGGCCAACTACATTGCATATCCGCTTCTGGAGCCTATCAAGAACCCCGAGGCAAACAGAAGGGGCACCAGACCATATATGGCAGCAATACCTTGATAGCGTTCAAAAGCGTCTACGCGTCCATGCGGGGGATGAATTATTTTCCAATATACAACCCCTTGACCTTCACAGCTAAGTCCCACCATCCCACGTACATTGGGACAGTTCATCTCCATTCCCCTCGTTTTCCATTAGTAAGAAGGAAGTTTCTTTGTGAGCACCGCTAATTTATGGAACAGGCGCTCGAAATGATGTTTCCTCAATCGCTAGCTGGAAGCTTAATCTCTTCAAGTCGTTATCTTTCCTAAATATGCTCATAGCCTACACTTCTTACTTTGCCCTATTAGGTTCATACAAAAATCTTATTCAGTAACACTCTACCTTGAGTACCTCTTCGACATTGGGTGGGCAATTATTAAAAAAACAAAAAGCTTCGCGGTTAACCTCCAAGCATAAGCTTCGTCGGCTTCCAAACTGCTTCGTCTAGTAAACTTATAATGCTTGGGTAACCTGTAGTAGGGGTTTCATGTACTTTCTGACGCTACCGTACTCTGGGATCGTCTCTTCCGGATAATATTACTAAGAAGTAACATCCTAGATTAATCAATTAGCAATTCGGTCATGCAACTTGATTTTTTTTTTGCGCTTTATCAACCTTTTTAAGTTTATTTAAAGCCGAAACATATTTTTGGATTGTAAGAATTTGGGTGAGCTAATAATGATTTTTTGATACAAGTACCTACTATTTAACTATTTAATCCATAGTTGAAAGAAGAAAAGCTGGCTTCATACTATTCCCAAAGGTATTTGTTTGTAACAAACTGAACTGGAATTCGAACCCGGCTCTCCGATTTCTCATTCTGTGTCGCACAATCCAAGCATACAACACCAGGTATTGCTAAGCGATCACCCATGTAAGTACTGACCAGGCTCAACGTTGCTTAACTTCGGTGATCGGATGATAACCAGTGTTTCAACGTGATTTGGACGGTGCTTCAATATTATTTTAAGTACTGCAGCAAACTTAAAACATAGATTATTATATTTTTCCCGCGTACCATTACGTCCTGCCAGACGATAATAGTGTACACCTTCAGAAGTATATTTATATTATTACAGTGTTCAAGGTCATGTACAGCGAACATTCTGCACGCAAGGGGTTACAGAGAGTGAGAACGAGAATAAAGTGGCGTGATAAAGTATAGGATAAAGAGAAGGACGGGGAATTAGATCAAAGCATCAGAAGATATCGATTAACATTACATTTGAATATTTGAAGGCTATAAATGCCAAGGAAGCAAGTAAGAGGAAGGGATTTCCACATACGGGAAGTGCCAGACATGAAGCTATTGGAGTAAAAGAGACGGCTACATTTAACTGTTTTGACAGTAAAAGGGTGGAACTGAGATTCCAACCTCGTAACACGCTTAAATTCATGCAGTTTCGGAAATGAAAGACAAGTTGAAGATGCAACTGGAGTCTTTAAGAATATTTATTTAGAGTAACTTTACCGGCTTCTCAGTACTTTGATTTGCCAAATTTAAATTGAGATTGAAAGAAGTGTGGCTATGCCATGATCTGTTTTGGAATTTGCATTTCGGCGATGCTAAAGAGATCATGGCATCGGCCTACGTCTCTCCATCTTAATTTAACTTCAGAAAATCATAGAAATGTGAAACCGGTAAAGTTACGCTAAAACATTCTTAAAGACTCCAGTTACATTTTCAAGATATTTTTACCGTGTGAGCTATATAAAAAAAATCACTTTCTCATATATATATATATATATATATATATATATATATTGGTTACTTTTTGTTAATCTCATTAAACTTTATTACAGATGTAGAAAAAATATATATATATATATATATATATATATATATATATATATATATATGTTCATTTATAGTAATTCATTGAGTCTAGAAGAATCCTCACCAGAATGCTGAAGACTGGATGACAGTTTCATCCTATTTAGCGCTCATCAAGTACGTATCCAATACTGAGAATCGAATCCGGACAGTTACAATACAACACAATCGTCATAGCACAGGGTGAGAAGACGCGGCTCTTGGGGCACAAGCCTTTGGGTTTGAAATACTTGAATGAGTATCACCACAGAACTTGTGAGTAGCGGCGCTATATGGAGTGTAGTCAGTTTCTTCTTTGCCACCGAGTCCCGTTGGGCAGTGGTATGACGCTTGCGTTGTATCGTAACGGTCCGGTTTCGAGTCTCGGTAGTGGATGCGCACTGCAGATGTAGTCCCACATAGAACGGAACGGTCGTCCAGTGCTTTCTGCATTCTGTTGAGGATTCTTCTAGACTCGATGAATTACTATAAATCATTGTTCTAATCCCCGAAAAATTCTATCATATATATGAAACTTTGTCCCCTTTTGTAGGAGAAACCACTGTCTGATCCTACGTACTTTGTAATTTTATCACTCAGCTACGCAGAGACTCACAATAAAGCAATATTCTATTTTGCATTTGAAGCACAATTACTCGTTCAGGTTTGTCTCGTAACTCATGTATACTTAGTTTTGTAACAGAAACTTTGGTTTGGATGATTTTGTTTAGCGGCATATCAACCTCTATCGATTATTTAATGCCGAAATTTAAATATTTCAAAACTATTTTATGGCTTCAACTAAATATATTTAGGACACAATTGCATGCCTTCAACTACAGATAAAATGAATTGTTAGTCATTACTATTATATATATATTACTAGCAGTATGGCCCGGCATTGCCCGTGCTTGATTCAATAATCGTACGACTCATACAGCAATCGCTATCACTTGACTTAAAATATTTTTGCCTTTCCTTTCCTTTGCCGTGCTGATGTTGCTACAGGCCTTACTTCTTGCCTATCTCACACTGCGAATTTTTCTAAGCTCTATACTAAACATTAAATCTGTTACAAAAAAAAGAACTAAACAAAATGAATACAAAATGATCAGCTTTAAAAAAGGACTCGTAACTGGAAAAAACGAATGAAAAAAGAATGTTAACAACAAATACTTTTTCACACCCAACACAGTTCTGCAGAATCAGAATCAACGTTGAGTTTAAGCAAGCGAATGAGCCAGTTGGAGTAAAGTGCCATGCAGTTTTAAATTTTTCCCCCTTGTGACGAATGCAGCTATCGATTTTTTTTGCATGCTAGCATTCTAGTTAACATTCGTGTCAGTCAGCTGTTGGCTCTCACGCTGCCTATTCGTGGCAGCCAGCTATAGGCTTTCATTCTGGCCAGTAGAAAATGGCCACAAACTACATGAAAAGTGCCGTAGAAGCATGAAAAAATCGATTATTTCCACTATCGATGGGAGTTGGGAAATGCAAAGTCGGTCTTGGCCTACCTGCTAACTTGGAGCATGTGCATGTAGATTTTGGTGCAAATCCGTCGAAAATTGCGGCCGTGCATTCGTTACACACACACACATACACACACGCACACACATACACACACACACACACACACACACACACCCTGCCTTTTATAGATAGAGATTCGTAATTCTACTTTATCTACTAAAAAATATAAATGTTGGTCATTTTGATTTAAAAATGTATTGTTAATTTTAATATAAATGGACATTGTTAGTAATTTTACTATATGTATTACGTGTAATCATTTTTTTATATAAAAATGTATTCCGCATATTTTTACTATAAAAAGGTATTTTTATACATTCATAGTGTTTTGTTTTGATTGGGGTTTTCACTATTTATCCGTAGCTTGGGCCCTACCATCTCGAATCAGTGTGGACTTGGGAACAACAGCAATTAAGACGTGGTTCCACGCTTCTCAAAACATCCAATCTCCCGATCAGAGTGCTTGCTACCGGATTTAATTCAGTCTTACTCAAGACTATATGCGAAACGTAAAGGTGTTTGAAAAGACGCCCCGTTTACTTTAAACACGATTTATTTCCTATACTGTTCTGCGTACTTGAGAAAACTTCACACACACACACACACATATATATATATATATACTTTGACATCACATTATATATTCACTCAGTCAGTTATGTGCTATGCGTGATACACGCTTAACCAACTATTTATTTTTCGATACGTGACTGACGAGACAGATTAGGTTGCCATTTCTTTTTGCGATAGACCAGTTGCCATCCAAGGCTATAGAACCCGGTCTTTTCTGCTATTTACCCATGGGGGAGAAGAAGATGATTCCTACCTTTCCTAAGGGTATTAGCACGTAAGTTAATGTAATGGATTCGACTGGAATTCGAACTCTGCTCTCCGATTCCTCAATCCGTGCCGCTATCCATTACTCCACCGTGTTCCCCTTAACTAAGATCTGCGAAGGAATATTCCTTCCTGTGCCATCCCGCTGATGTCTGATCTACCAGAGATAACGATGAAAATAAAATTTAAATAGAACTCAAGTTTTATGGTCCTGGCTCTCGCATAAATGCTGACACTCTACAGTACCATGTATATGGTACTGTATAGTGTCAGCATTTGTGGAATGACAATATATATATATATATATATATATATATATATATATATATATATATATATATATATATATATATAGAGAGAGAGAGAGAGAGAGAGAGAGAGAGAATTTACATTTATCAGCCAAAGGCAAACACTTGAGGTGCCAAGAAGTGGTTGTAATTGCTCAGCTGAATAGCAGATCGATAAACGGTAGGCGCCATTAGTAATGATTGTTTTTGTCTCGTTTCTCTCTTGGCGAATCATATTCAACTTGAGAGGTCAGCAAACACTTTCCTTAAAAACAAACAAACAACAACAAAACTGCTGATATCATTGAAATGCACGCGACCACGATGCTAGTCTCGGGCGCCGATGAGAAAATATTTAAATGAGAATTTAATAGGCTACAAAAACACGGATAAACTAATATTATCGTACGTATCGACCAACTAATATATTATCGAATAACTGACTGGACTAGCATCGCCACCATTGTTGTTTGGGCAGAATCTATCTCTCCAGTTAGCTCTGTGTTCAGACTTACGGTTGCATCACGTTGAAAACACCGGTCCCCTTACGATCATCGAAGTTAAGCAACGTTGAGTTTGGTCAGTACTTAGGTGATCGCTTGGGATTATCAAACATGTATGTGCGGGTGGTGTAGTGGATAATAGCTCGGAATTGTTAATCGGAGAGCCAAGATCTAATTCCAGTTGAGGTTGTTATCTTCACATATGCGCAAATAACCTTGTTAAAGGTATGTCGCCACCTTTTCTCTCTTCAGCAACGGGTTAATTATTAAGACTTTTATCACTAAACCATTATTATTTCAAAAAATATTTCTTATAATCTAACAGTATTTCCTGGCTTTAAATAACCCGCAAAAGGCTAATAAATCATAAAAATGAATCAATCAATCAAGCTATACGTTCCTCTGTATCTATAGTAACGGTTTCAAGATTTCTCTCAAGCTAGCTGTAAAGGTTGGATTCTCACTGAGTGCCTCATTAGCATGACAGTCTAAACTAATCTCCATTAATTTAGATGTCTGATTAGTTACTTACTCGTAAATCACCTTGTAAAATGTATGAATCCTTATTCTTCCCCCAGCTATGGATTAAATAGTAGGACTTGCATCTGAAAATTCAGTGCTATTCTCAAAAAATTATATCATACAATATTTACTCGCCAAAAAGAGAATTATTCTTACAACTTAAAATTTGTGTCGGCTATAAATAACTCGCAAAGAAGGGTTGATAATCTGTAAAAACCAAATCAAAATTAGTTATTTTTTTCAGTATGCACTACATTACTTATTTGCAGTGAGTATTCCTTCTGGAGTTTTCAAGAAAGCGAGTTCTGGGAGTATTTGTACATAACTATATATATATATATATATATATATATATATATATATATATATACGATTGCGTCTAGCATGACACAACCTGTCGCCTCTGAGTGTTGACTTCATTGTTCACTTTTATATTTATATTTACATAGGGTCTATC